CACGATTCTCCATAATATTATACGTAAAAGAATTAAAAAAAAATAAAAAAAAATAAAAATAAAAATCATTTATTATCAGACAAAAGCAGTCCATAGTTTGGTTAGTAACAATTTGAACTTAGATTAGTAGAGTTATTACTATACTATATTAGTAGAGTTAGTAACAATGTTCTTAGAATTGAATTTCTGTTTTCCTTAAAGCATAATTATAATCTGAGCTAGACCCGATCTAGTGACCACTATAGTGAGCAAATCATCCAAGAACGTGTTGAGTTAAATCGTCTTTCCTCGCTGATGTCAGCTCACTAATCAACGCGAGATATCCATATCCAGGTGGATGCGAATACTGATATGCAGGGCTGCCTCCATCAGGAATATAGTATATTACAGTTGTAGAGCCATAAAATACATTCAAAATTGTCTGTATTCTTATCTAAAATGTCATAAGATGCCATGAGAATCAGACACTCAGCGACCTTTCTAACAATAAGTCAAAGTAACTAATGATCTTTTAGGATTTTCTGTTTGAAGGGCATTTCTCAAAGGTTTTTCAACCAGGCGATTTCAGTGAAATTCAAACTTTGTACATTTCAACTGTGGATTTCCATAATGACCTTATGATTTTTCAATTGCACCATATCTTAGTAGGGTATCTTAGGGAATAGGGACTCTACACTCACTAGGGAGTTAGTTTCCTTCCTGACCACATGTCCCGGGCACGAGAGCGGTGCCTTAAATTAATAAGTGCTCTACCACTTAAATTACACTGCGTTACAAATGAAAAAAAAATTAAGTACCCGCTTTGAAATGTCGCGTTTTCTTATTAATTCCTTTCGTTTAGTAAGAATACATGGATATTTTCTTCCCATCACGTCTCATTTTTTTCCCTGAGGATGTGCCAAATTATGTTTAAGACTGAAAGAATCAAACATAATTTATAGAAATCTACTAAAATATACCAGATTTTTATACATCAATCAAGTTTATTTTTTATCATTTAGGTATAAAAAATATAAGAAAAATAAATTCATACAATTTAAACCCAAAATACCTTTACATTTTAACTTTGTCTTTTGTGTTTTGAAAAATCTTCTCGTTTTAGACGCCAACAGTAATCGCCTAGCATAGTTGTGTCCCGACGGCCTTAAAATCGTTCTTCAAGCTTCTTTACATCTTGGTGGAACCTCTCTCTCCCTGCTCATCACTGACAGCACCAAGATTAGATGGAAAGAAAGATAAGTGGGAATGAAGGAAGTGAATTTTTAACCACATTCTACAACCCAACTTTTCGTATGTTTTTAACATGTTGTTAACTAGCTGTTCAGCATTTTCGGCTCTATGGTTTCCTAAAAACCCCTTTACAACTGCTTTCAGTGATAACCAGGCATCGAGTTCCTTGTCAGTAAGCTTTTTGTCAAAATTTAGGTATTTCATCAATGTTCGTATTTGTGGTCCCATGACTGTCCCTTCTTTGAGTTTTGCGTCAATTAACTTTGAAAAAACCGTCTTCAAACACATAAATCCATCTCCCTCTCTATTCTGAGCCATAAAATTTTCATTCAACAGACCAAGTTTTATGTGGAGTGGTGTTTACCGCAAACAAAACTTATTTGATGCATTTTTGCAGTTGCGACGGCCACTTAGTTCAGTAGTCATATTGAATTTCCAAATAAAATATGCTCAGAGATATCGAGGTTATCGAAATTTTATATGAAAAACAATAAAAAAGTATAATATCATCGAAAACCTCAACTGTTCTTATACGCCTAAAGTGAGGGTAGTTGAAATAATGATCGACTTGTACCTCGAGAACTAGACGTGATGGATACCACATATGTTTGGAACTTTTTATCTACGACTAATTACCTATTCATTCCAGCTATCAGTTTAACGGGTACCAAAATCGTGTAACGCAGTGTTATTATATTTCAAAGAGTGCCCCATTTCCATCCGCAAAAGTCAGCCCTACTGCCATGACAGATGGACTGCCAACGCGTTCAAGAGCACACCGATTATCGAATTACGGTCCCCGCGCCAATGCTGCTCTTTCGTCTGTCACGGCCGATGTTCTTTCCGCTACCGGACCGGAGGCAGGTGCCGAGTGGCAACACGTTTCGCGCTGGCGCGAATGTCAACGTGTATGCATGCATCCACGCTAGAGACGTGCATACACGTATAGACAGTGTCTAGGCACTCGGAAAACTGTTTTGGGTATGAAATCAGGTTTAATATTTTTGTTATCGACGTCCTTTGGCTAAAACGAAATGAATGAATGTAGGTACATTTCGTTTCAGCCAAAGGACGTCGACTCTGTACCTCTAGCATGAACAACTTTCGTCTTCGAATCGTTTGCGTATTCGACAAAAATCAAAATTCGATACTCATTCGAATTAAACGATATCCAGACAATTTTGACTGTCAAAATAAGTTTTTCTCATACTAAGTTCACTTTACGACACGTTCACAAGGGCGCTGTTTTAGTTTTCGTACTAAATCTTTTGATGGCGATTCGAATACGCAAACGATTCCAAGTCGAAAGTTTTTCGTGCTAGAAGTACTGGACAAAGAAAAGGCTTTTCTCACGGATTTCCACAAGGACCGGTCTTGCGCTACCCGCAACTACCCGGTGCTTTAGTTACCTGTATAGAAAAATAAAGATTCCCACTACTGGTAGTGGGCAACTACGTCTCATTTAATTTCACCCGGGGCGAAATCGTAGCAACGTACTTTATTTGTATGGATAAGCTTGAGATTTATCAAAATGAAAAAATTCAACTAAGTAGTACTAAGTAATAATACACATATATTATGTAGTAATAAGTAGATTTATACTAATGCATGTTTTATGTCTAGGCTTCGGCTAGAAGTTCTCTAGACTATGAAAAAATAATGAACTTGTGATTTGCTGACCTAACATACAGTAGGCGCGCGAGTTCATGTCCATCCTGAGGAATGCGGTAGTGCTGTTACCTAACTAATTATGCTAATGTCGATATCGATAATTATTACCAATTAAGTAGGTCAACCTTATCTACTTATTCCATATTTTTTGCAACTTATAAGTAAGTATAAGTATAAGTAAATAAGTAAGTAAGAAGGCCCCGATGGACATGAACTCGCGCGCCTACAGTAGGTATACCTACTCGTAACTGTAGCGTAAAATGATTATTAAAGCGTCTTTTATGCTTCCTCCTAATTAAGAAAAAAAATCTTTTTAGAGATTTTTTTGCTTTTGTTGATTGCATTACCTACACACTGCATTTTAAAAACTTTCCCAACCAAACCGCCTTTGAAATTGTAAAATTATAACGCCATCTATTGAGGAGTAGTGTAGGTATCTTCAGAAAAGAAAAACTTCAGGATTTAATTTATTTTAATCAACTTTTAGAATTCATATTTTATTAATTTTTCATACAATTCGAGAGGTATGTATTATGAAATTTTAAAATAAAATGTATAAAATTAGTTTACAAACATGACACCATGATAGCTCATACATAAGGCTTGGTAAAGTCTTCTTAACTAATTTATACCGTTAGTTACATTTGCCACACCTTAGACACACGTACTAATATTATTTTGATAAGATTGGTAACACCAAACCGAAAACGGTTCTGATTCACACTCTTGTCGACTTTCCGCTTTTCACAAAAATACACACTCAATTACTTAGATATTCGATATTTCAGAAAGTACTTTCTTTAAGAAGGAGTAAACACAATTTGAAACGAGATTACAAAGTCACTAGTTATTTAGATATTTACAAACAAACAAGTAATTTCTTCTCAATTTATATCGTCATTCAGTCCTAAAAGGAGTTTCTCCTCGGTCTTGGCGGCCGCAAATGTGGGTTTATTATCACTATTATTTGCCTGAGTTCCATTAGATCGTTGTACATTGTTTTCATGGCAGTCATCTGCAACTGAAGAGTTGTGAGCTTCATTTTTATTGTTTTCACTTTTATATCACAATCCTGTATATTTTCATCTAGTTTCGATAAATGTTTGCTATTTGTATTCATCTGGCTTTTGAGAAAATTCTTAACGTTATTACTGTACACTGACATTACCGATAGACTTATCCTACAACACAACGCGTGTTATCACTACAAAGCTTAAAATGGCCTAAATGATAATGTAGTAAGTTTATTTAAAAACCTAACACACGCGACGATACCTTAAAGTATCAGTTATCGGTTTGCAATGCTATTTTTAAGTAATTTGAACGATTTCTTGATAAATTACCTTATCGCACGATTATCCGACGTTGATAGGAAAACAGTGACATCTATAAGGATAATGAATCACAATGCACTAAATCAGCGGGAAATGCATTTCTTTTTAAACTTATGACTATTAATACTACAGGTAGGTACGAGTATAACTGATAAGAATGAAAAACTTTGAAAAAACCAGTTGAAGGCAGCTTCAGGTACTCAGATTCCTTATACCAAGGATTTGGTTGGACTTTAAGTACTTACTTAATTTAATTAGGTGGTGCTAGTAAGCCTATAGTTGCTTACTTATGCTCAATGGCCCTGATTTAATGATTCTGGAAGAAGAATATAAACCAGAAAACCTCAGAGAAAACCATCATCTGACATTCTAATTTTCGCCTTGCCAAATTTTAATAGCATGGTAGGTATGTATTAATACGATGTACGATACAAGTAACTAATAACTCCGCATGATAGTAATAAAATTTACATTCATACACAATCCTTTAGGTCAGCCCGTAACACTTTTTTTAATTATAGCAAATGAAGTTTTTTTTTTGTTCTTGACCAACTTTATAAGGTAGATGCATGCCTTCTCCACAACTTGTTAGTGCTCGAAGTCAAAATATGTAACTAAAGTCGAAATAACGTTATCGTTATTATTGTAATGCATAACAACACTAAAAAATCAATTCAATTGAGTTACAAACAAAATCGGATTGAGCACTTCACTAATCTTCGATGACGTTTAATTCATTGCTGCCAACATTCACAAAAAAAAAATATTAACAAAATTGACAAAATTGGGCTGTCATTTTTCTATTCATCGAATCAATCATTGTTGATTTTGTAAAACATTATTTTGATAAAAGTAGTGGAAAATGTTTCGAGCTAACAATTTTGATAAATTACTTGGTAAGTTTATTGTTCTTATTACAATAATGTATTCCTTGTTGCACCAGGGACCCAAATCATTACTTATTTGTAATCAGACTACATTTCTCTAATTTGCGTTAACTTTCTATAAATCGCATCAAAGTTTATCGAATTATCCATTCTGAGTTGATTAAAACCCTTGCCTTATTCTGTTTGGTGCATTGAACTAGTTTTGGAATCCTATCGAATTTGTGGATTCATTCTGGAATAATTACTCTAAAATTATATCTTTCTCTTGTAGATAAAGCGACTAGTAATCTGCGCTTAGACCCTGATTGGCCTACGATATTGCAAATTTGTGATCTAATTAGGCAAAATGATTGCTCGTAAGTATTTGTTGTTTTGCAACATATTTACCTTAATTACAGTTCCCCATAAAAGTCCTTAGGTACAACTAAAAATCACACCCTTTCAGACCAAAATATGCAGTGGCTGCTGTTAAAAAGAAACTATACTCTCAAAACCCACATCAGGCTATGTTTGCATTACTTACACTTGAAAGCATTGTCAAAAATTGTGGTAAGTAATTTAGTTGATTTATACTTATTATACAAAATGATTAAATATTAGGGCCAGCTATATGCTGTGTAGGGACTACATTTTAATAAGATTATTGCCAAGAACTACACTAATTTTTAGCACAGACCATTACATACCTTGTTGGGATTAGGGGATGATGGGAAATGAAAGATGAATCCTAATTTTACATTTTATTTACGTGATAGACTCATGTCAGTTTTCACTGTTGAACTAGACCAAGTAGATATTGAGTATAAGTATATTTCCATGTAAATAAATGTCACTAAAATTCTGGGATATTTTATTTAAATATTTATTGGTTCCAGAGATTACCCCCCACTAATATAAACACTAATATTCCTGCCTTTCATAATGATAAGCGGACGAGTAAACAAGTTAGGCTATGTATTTAATTAATCTCCTCCAATATTGGGCCTCAAATATGTTTGTTAAAATAATAAACAGTAGCAATAACTTTGAATGAATTATTTTCTTAAAAAAATATTATGTATTTCACTTTCTGTTGAACATACCTTTCTTAAAAAAACATTCATGAATGGGGTGACTCACACCTAACTTATTTTGAATAATTAGTTTGAAATAAAAAAATTCAAACTCTTTTAGTGTCTAGCTCACTTTGCAATAAAAATACTTTTAAGTAGGTACTCCAGGAACCAGGAATCAAACCTGGGACCCACAGCGTCATTTATAGCTACCTCCTAATTCAATCTTAACTTAATTTGCCCCAATAGGCTCTGGTGTACATGATGAAGTGACTTCCAAAGTGTTCTGTGAAATGCTCCGTGATCTGGTCAAGTCGACACAACACGAAAATTTGCGCACCAAAATTCTAGAGCTCATACAAGCCTGGGCTTTTGCTTTCCGCAACTCACCCAAGTATAGAGCTGTTCAGGTAAGCATTATTTGTACCGATAACAGCACATCAACCTATACATTGCTGTATCTTATGCCTAGTTGTAGTAAGAACGATATTACAATAAAAATGTATAGTATGATGTGCTGTCAAAATAAATTATTATCCAATTAAAAAAACATCTTCATTCCAAGAAAAATGAGCAATATTTTTTCGAGAATAATTACTGTTACTTATTTTGTTTATTTACTACGAAACTACGCATATTTTTCCAATTTTCTTAAATGAAATTACAGCAACAGCAAATAACAGTATTCAGTCGCCATTTTCACAGTTCACTGAACCTCTATTATACATTCCTCAAGGTTGAAACTGTCTACCTTGTCGAGACTCGCGACGCCACCCGTGTCTATCGATTTTGTGATTTATTAATTTAATTAACATGCTGTCACTTATGATGTGACAAAGGTTGGATATCTACATGCAGGCAGTGAGTTTGGTTGACTTATAAATAGATAGGAGCCCGGTCATACAGGCACAATTACAGTTAATCAAGTGACTGAGTTGATGCTGTTTACATTGCTGTTTCGTGTCATTGGCCAACTCATTTATATTTCTGATAAACATTGTAGGTTGGGATATTACGATATAATATTATGTAGCTACAAATTATATTGATTAATATTCATATATTGTAGTCAAATACCTGCTTTGTTATGCATAAAAAAAAATGAATATCACATTTATCTATTTTCATTATTATGCTGTAGATGTTTTGTTAATTACATAATGTACATTTTTAAATTTCCCCAACAAAAGAAATTAACAGATTGCTACTATGAAAACAAATATGTAAATATAAAAACACATAGTGTTATCTACTCTATCTTTGCAATCCAACGTCACAATGATAAAATCAGCTTGGTCTGTGGATTGTGATTCATAATACCTACCTACCTCAGTGAGATTGTTTGTCTAATGTTTACAGCCAGTCTTTGTCCTTAAATTTTGTATTTTTCTATTCACTATGGTTAGTTTAATAATTGTGTAATTAAATTTTGAATGTTTCAATGATTATATTAAACATTGTATATGCTCCCAGGATACAGTGAACATACTGAAGGCTGAAGGATTCAAGTTCCCTACGTTGAAAGAGTCAGACGCAATGTTTTCTGCTGATACTGCCCCAGAATGGGCAGATGGGGAAGTCTGCCACAGGCAAGTTGTTTCTAAGTACATAAATTAGGATTTATTACTACTAATGCAAAATATCCCAACTGCTATTCGAATATTGTAATTGCTAAATCACTATTGGGTAACCTCTGTCCAGACTGCCCTCTATTTATGCACTTACTTGTATCAATGATTTTTGTGTGTAAACTAGGTACTTACTGGAAATTCCAGAATACTTACACTATAAAACAAGCAACATATTTTTTATACAGGTGTCGTGTAGCATTCTCTCTGATGGTCCGTCGCCACCACTGCCGTGCTTGTGGTCAAGTGTTCTGTCAGCAGTGCAGCTCCAAAACTTCCACCTTGCCCAAGTTTGGTATTGAGAAAGAGGTAATGATGAATATGGTTTCTTTTTAAGAAAACTTGCAAATGGTTCAATGACTTCATAATTAAATTAAAACTTACATCACTTGCTACTCTATTCAACTAATTACTACGTAAACTGTATTACTCATAAAGCCAAAATGTTAATTTTGCATGTATTTGTAAATTTTTAATTCTGAATAAAGAACTACAGTAGTTTTAATTTAATGTGTCTTAGATGTAAAAGTATAGAATTAGCAGAGATTGGGTCTTGAATGTTGAGTTCTATTCGTAGGTACGAGTTTGCGATGCTTGCTTCGATAAAGTGAGCCGGCCTCCATCTTCTACTGCAAAGCTTGAAATTGTTGACACATCCAATGACTATGGACCTACTCAACCTCAGGTTAGTTTCTTTTATTTACTTACATTCAGGATACCTGCCCTAATAATTTAAATCTTTTGTTAAGCAGATGTATGAATAGATCTTCCCAAGACTTGAGGGCATTGTTACTTTAAAAAATAAATGCAAAGAATTTATGCTATAGATTACTTTTCTTTGTTAAGTTGACCTCAAAATGGTTATCACAAAAATCAAGTGTCTAACAGGTTAGAGATAACACAACTGGAATAATGCAAAAGAAAAACACTTTTTACTTGAAAATTTGTTTATTACACTAATACTTATTATCTACATCACTGTCCATCATATGAGTCTCCTGGCATTTCACCTCCGGGCACTAACATAGCAATGTTGTTTCCATTCAACAATATTTGGTCGAGTTTAGTGATTTTCCTTCCCTCCGGCGTTGACTCATATTCTGTGACGTCATCCAACAACATATTCACAAAATCGTCGAATCCTTGCAACGTGCCTACCATTTCTTTGTCGTTTTTCATGATGATGTGAATCCGAGAGCCTATGCACTTGTCGACAAGCTCCAATGGCAATAATGTGTTCGGGTTAGGAAGTGCGGCTTGTGTCATTTTGTATGGAACAATTTTCTAAGTTGTTTCTATATTACTAGGTACATTAAAATTAAGTTTCCTTAAAAATTATTGCGGTTTTTGCGATTACAATTTACGCCGCTTCGCTTCACCTCGCGTCTATTCGGGCTGTCAACACTGTCACTGTCAACACTCACACTGTCAATGTCAAGTCCATTGTCAACATATTTTGGTTTGACACATGGTCCTTCCGTTCAGAAACGCATATTCGGCGAAAATGCGTTGGGCCGCGCTACGTTTTTGAGAACAAAAAAAGTTGAAACGTCAAAGCCCGTGTCTTGTGTTGTTTGCCGTGTTTTGTCATTTCAAAAAATAACGACGCGATTGGAGTTGATCAATTTTATCTCGTTTGTTTTACAACATACTGAAACTATTCGTGCATTTTTACTAAATCATCATGGCGAAAAGCTACGTGACTAACTTTCGCGGTGAAAGTTTCTACACTCCTAATGAAAAAATTCAGATCAAGGAAGAGTACACCACTCCGATAGAAGAAGATTTTGGAAGCCACAATTTGATGGAGCAGTCTTTTGAAAATCCGTATGGATCAATGAGGAAATCTCTCTCTATGAACGATATTGCTGCGCTTAGAGAAGATATGCTAAAGATGGAACTTCACGACGGTGACGATATATACGAAAGATATAGAAGACCTACTGGTGCACCACATGAACTGTCTCGAACTAAGTTTGTATCTATGGCTGAAGCTATTTATCATTACCAGAGAGATACTCCAGGACGATTTCACTCCAAGAAGCCACAGATATTCAAATCACAGTGCTCTTCAAGTCGACCCAATTTAACCATACCGCAGTCTCCCATGTTGCGCTGTAAGACCCGTGCTCGCCCTCTCCATATTATGTCACAGAAAGAGAGGGAAGAAATGGAACTTGAAGAACTAAAGAAGTTTAAAATCAAAGCTCAACCTATTCCCAAATCTGTGATTGAAGGAACGATACATCTGCCTGAGGTACCAAGAAAACCTATAACTGTTCCTGAGCCGTTCAAGTTAACAGAACTGAATAAAAAGGTAGTCCAGTCTCCCGATCATTCTCAAAAGTTTAAAGCTCGCCCTGCACCGAAACATATCTTGGAAAAGCCTCAAATTCCTGTGAAACCACCTGTCCAAGTGACTAAACCAGTTAGTCCTAAGTTCCATTATAAAAGAGGTAACTCTTCTGATCACCTGAAGGCTGAAACAAGGTCGAACATCCAAACAACAAGCTCATCAGCAAAACCTGCTGAAAAACATCAGCGCCACGGTCCTCTGAAACCTGAACCTTTCTCATTTGAGAAAAGAAACGAAGAAATTAAGCGCCGAAAAGAAGAATGGATTAAACAACAAATTGAAGAAGAGAAAAAGCAAGCTTCTCTGTTCAAAGCTCAGCCTTTGCCTGGCGGAGTGAGAAAGCAAATGCATAAAACAACCGCAAAATGCAGTTCATCAACAGCATCATCTGAGAACAAAGAAAATCAAGTTAAATTTGAAGCTCGTCCACCTGTAGTTTTGTACAAAGAACCCTTCAAGCCAGTTCTCCAGTCATTACACATTCTTAAGGCTAAACCATTTGATTTGACGACACAGAAACGAGCTGCAGAGCGGGAAAAGTTTGACAAATTGTTGAAAGAGAAGGAAGAAGAGCAGGAAAGAATGAGATTGCAGCGGGAAAAGGAACACCAGGAAGCCGAAGAGAAAATCAAGGCTGAAATGAGGGCCAAACTAGTTCATCACGCTAAACCAGTGCCAGCTTTGACACCCTTTGTTCCAGAAAGATCTGTTGCCCCTCTAACTGTTCCTGAAACCCCTAAATTTGTTAGGAGATTGAGACAAAACTAAACTTATGTACCAAATTATAAATATGAAATCTTTCCTAAGTCCAGGGTATTTGACTATTTACGTACATCTATCACCCACGTTTACATCTAGGGTATTTTTATTATTGGCTTTCCTTGGGAACTGTACTTTTAATTTCTCTAGGATCAAAAACTTATATCCTTTACATTAATCTATATACAGTGTGAGTCACGTTAAAGTGTACATATGAAAATAGATGAAATTAGACCTATTTTTATCGACAAAAAAGAGGTCTAAAAATTTTTGAGATTTTTTTTTAATTTTTTATAGAATTTTTTTTCTTCCAATTACTTATTGTAAAGAAAACGTAATAACTTTTAAACTAAGCGATATATCCTGATAAAATAAAAACATTAATAATGCTAAATAACAGGCAATACTAAAAAAATACATAAAATACACAAAAAATGCCAACAAATAATAAAAAATGACACTTTTTGAAAAAAATCTGCTTAAAAATTCGTGTTTTTTTGGTTATTTGATAAATTTCTCCAAAAAATGCCCCTATAACAGGTGGTTTTTATTGTTTTGTATTATTCTCTATCGTATTACCTTTGTAAAACCAAAAATTGCATGTCTCTATCCCTATCACAACATTTGCTATGATAGTTTGAACAAAGGCCTACCACAACATTATTCTCCTCTACAGGTAGGGACAGTTTTAATTTTAACTAAAATGCTTATTTTACTTCGAAATCTTTTGTTTTTACTTGAAATCTGACTTGTCTTTATCAAAATTACAAATCTAGAGCCATTTTCAGTTTCGTTGTTAACGAAGCGTTGAATGGCGCGCCCGGAGAGGCTTAGTTCAAACGATCATAGCAAATGTTGTGATAGGGATAGAGACATGCGATTTTTGGTTTTACAAAGGTAATACGATAGAGAATAATTCAAAGTAATAAAAACTACCTTTTATAGGGGCATTTTTTGGAGAAATTTGTCAAATAACCAAAAAAACACGAATTTTTAAGCAGATTTTTTTTCAAAAAGTATCATTTTTTATTATTTGTTGGCATTTTCTGAGTATTTTATGTATTTTTTAGTATCGTCTGTTATTTAGCATTATTACTGTTTTTGTTTTATCAGGATATACCTCTTAGTTTAAAAGTTATTACGTTTTCTTTACAATAAGTACTTGAAAGAAAAAAAATTCTCTAAAAAATTTAAAAAAAATCTCAAAAAATTTTTGACCACTTTTTTGTCGATAAAAATAGGTATAGTTTCATCCATTTTCATATGTACACTTTAACGTGACTCACACTGTATATAAAAATGAAACCCGTTTCGCGTTGTCACGGCATCACGTGTGAACGGCTGAACCGATTTCGATAATTCTTTTTTTTTAATGTTTGTGGAAGTCCAAGGATGGTTCTTACGGAAAAAAATATTAAGAAAATCTCTACGCTAAGGCGGTACGAAGTTCGCCGGGTCAGCTAGTACTTTATAATAATACTTTTGTAGAGTTACAGTAAATGTATTTGATGGGGCAACATTTCACAACCTTATTTGTGTTGATAACAATAAATTTCAAATACCCTTTAGGTAGAGTTAGGTAATAGTTATTAACATTATGTACTGACATTTATTTTGCTATGTAGTTTTAATTATGTTTGACTATAATTAATTAGGATTTCAATTTGTTACTATTATTATGTATCTCATAGATTTTTAGTACTTATAAATAAAAATGCGCTCTGCAAATTAATGTTGTCTTATTTACCGTGTGGTATATCTTGATAATTTTTTATATTAAAGTTAACTTATGGTCCAATATACTTTAGTTTTGGGTAATCATGTGACCCTAATAAGGTATTAAACTAAAATTATAAATTCAAACTTAGATTAAATTATTTGGCGAAAGTAATGACTCAAGAATAGATTCACGCTTGTAAATGGTGAAATACACTGGTCATCACAAAAATCGGCCCACCTACGTTTTACACAAAAACTCGTTTCTACTGACACAATCATGGTGCCCCAACAATATTGGTGTTATTTGAAAGCCCAATAAATATCCTTAAAGAAAAACACATTTAATTTCTTAATAAACGATTAACATAAACGCGATATACAATAAATGTGACTTGAAAAAAGACCTCACTTTGGGCTCACCTCTGGGATCAATTAGACCAATTTTTATGGTTATAAAACCAAATAATGATCTCACGTGTCCTCTTTTCGGATGATGGATAGCGATTAATCCCAACTTAACAGTTTTATAGCCATAAAAATGGCTCAAGCGTAACTACCTATTTTTTTAAGAAGTGGCTCTGGATTCTTCTACAGACACATTTTTCCGGTAAAAACCTTACCTTTAATGAAATGAAGTTTAGAACAAGGCTTTTAAATTGTGGCAATATTGGTAGGAAGTGGGGATGCATACGTTTGAAAGTGCTTGTCGCGGGAGGGTCGATTTTTGTGATGACCAGTGTATTTCACCATTTACAAATCTATTCTTGAGTCTGAGGTGGTTTAGGCGTGTTGATTTTGACTATTTACTTATTAATTTTATAAAATAATACATTATGTTGATAGTGAAATCTGAACCTAATCTAAATCTGTTGTCTGAACAGCTGGTATTTTGTTTTTTCTACTAAGTTCTTGGATGTTGAAGTATTCTGGTGTACCAATTTTTTTTCTTTAGTCTTTTTAACTAAATGATTTCAGATATTAAAACTCATTATAACACCTTCAGAGTTCAAGTTACATTATGACAAATTTTTCTTTTCTATATTATTTTAGAAGCGTCCCCCCGGTGGGAAGACTGCCGAAGAATTGCAAGAGGAGGAAGAATTGCAGCTGGCTCTGGCCCTCAGCCAGTCCGAAGCAGAACAGAAAGAGAAAGAGCGGAAGTCTCGCTCGCACATCGCGCCTGAAACTACTCTTCATCCTACACGTAAGTTTATTTGTATTTCGCTGATTTTGATTAATGAAATTATTGTGTCTTTGATTAAAATTACGATACGTTCGAAAAGCTGTTTTTGCAATAGTTGCCATTGAATTAACCACTGAACAGTGAACATACTTACGTCTAACTGGACTACACATCAGGGTAGCCTTTAGAACTTCAAAAGGTTAATGGAATATTTGCTTTTTTACTTCACTCGAAAGTAGTCAGTGTAGATGTGGATCCACGCCTAGACATAGCCCTGTCTTCATGCGACCAGTTTCTGCAACCGACTATTCACAAGTCGTCACTCCTAGCTGGTGCGCGTCCTATTCTACACTTTTCCAGTCTTCTCATACATTAACAACTAAGGAGGCGTCCATTAATAAATGTATCTTTCTTTCTTTCATTAATTACGTGAGACAATTTTGGCAATTTTTCAACCCCCCCGCCCCCCTTGGTGAGATTTTTCTAGACCCCCTCCCCACAATCTCACATATTTGCTATGTAAATGCGTAATTCAATTAGGATTTAATATTAAAAAAAACTGTTTCTTCTAATTTATTTATTGTGTAGACGGTTTAGAATAAAAAACATTGAATAATTTATCATTATCATCTTAAAATATATATTTTTTTATAAATAACAGTCATCTCGCAATTTGAAATTACGTGACATTTATCGAGACTCCTCCTCTCCCCTACGTAAGATTTAGTGAGGTTTTTCTTGACTAAACGTCTCACGCTAAGATGATTAATGTAAAATATTTTTCTCCACAGTGTCCCCAACTCCTTCGTCTGTCAGCGCTTCGCCCGAGCACAGCACGCAAGGCAACTCGGAACTGTCCCGGTACCTAGACCGGAACTACTGGGAGCAGCGCTTGTCCCGGGACACGGCTGCCGCCGCGCCCACCGCTCCGGCCCAGGCTAGCGCGTCCCACGTATCACATGATCCTGTTGATGTGAGTAACTGATAACTTCTGTATAAGCCAAGATAACTAAGCGTTTCGATGACTCTTTTATAATGCGAACAGCTAGGGACTGGAATTCGTTGCCTGCTGCTGTCTTTCCCGAAAACTATAATCCGGGCCTTTTCAAGGCGAGAGTGAATAGGCACTTACAGGGCAGATATCCATCCTAGACTGCATCCCACTTAACATCAGGTGCGATTGTGGTCAAATACCTGCCTTGCTTTGCATAAAAAAAAATAAGGCAAAGTTTGTCCCGACGGAAATTGTTTCTAATTAATCTTAATTAAGGGTCAGCGCTGCTTCGACCGGTTGAAAGTCAGTGCTGTGCTATTAGAGGGTTAGATCCATATTCAGAAAGAAGGCCACAAAAGCAATCGCTTAGACATCAAAATATGCGAGAGAAAGCTAGTTCAATCTTCATTGACCTCGACCTGTAAAACCTAGCATAATGTAATCCATTTCTATTTAATCGCATATGAGATACGTTAATTCTGTTTTATTATCTTTCACAGGAATTTGTGAAACCAACCACAAGTAAAGCCCAAGAAGATGACGCCGAAGATAAAGAAATTGACGAATTTGTGGAAACACTCAAGTCTCAGGTTGAGATATTTGTCAACAGAATGAAAAGCAACTCTTCCAGGTAAAACATTGGCTTTTCACTGTCCCTTGATTGTCGTAGAGTCGTAGATACTAATTTACAGGTTGCTATTCTAATATTTTTATGAGCTTACTATGAGTAGGTAAGTTTGGTATCTGCAGATGTAGTTGCCTTATTTAGACAAAGACAATGCTTTTTTATTAAAAGTTTGTAAAATTTAATCTTATTTTACTAAATATTCAAAATGTTTGTATTCCAGGGGAAGATCTATAGCCAACGACACATCAGTGCAAACTCTGTTTATGAACATCACGGCTATGCACTCTCGCCTGCTGAGGTACATACAGCAACAAGATGACAAACGCGTGTATTTGGAGAGCTTACAGGTATGTTATTTAAATTAATAGTTATAATTACCATGGCACTGCTACTGCCCAATACGTGTCATAACGTTGTCCTCTACAAGCAATATCATATTATTATGTTGGTACTTTCAAAGACACTTTTAAAGAAACATTGACGCTCATAAAAAGTTTCTATAATTGCGTTCACCATTTGACGCCACTGGCGAACGCCAGGAGCTAATTAGATAGCGTGGCACCAACCTTTCAATTTCAAATAGGATACCGCTTCAGCACTTAGGGGGCGTCCATAAATTACGTGAGGCTTTTAGGGGGGGGAGGGGGTCAACGAAATCCTCACTAAATCTCACGTGGGGGAGAGGGGGGGTCTCGGAAAATATCACGTAATTTTTCCCGCAAGAAATAGAGTCAAATTGCCAGAAAACTGGGTTATTGAAGTAATAAAAATGATTTTTTTTATGATGATAATGACAATTTATTCCAAACCGTCTAATCAAATTAAACTAAAAATGCCTCCATCTGCATTTGTGAACACTAAAGATGCAGAATAAATGTGGAAATTAAGAAAATTCGAAATTAAAAAAAAAAACGTCATCGGCATCGCTATTGCGTAATAAATTGGCCAAGTGCGTGTCGTCCCACGCGCAGTGTAGGGTTTCGTAGTTGTCTGTCGTTACCACAATATATTTCAGAAGCAAGCAATTACTTCATCAAAAGTCACTATAGTTTCCAAGCGAAACCTCGGACAGACAGACAGACATATCGAAACTATAAGGGTTCCTTGTCAGGACTACGGAACCCTAAAAAATGACATTACCTAAGTATGAAAATATTATTATTCGTAGTTAAAGTAACCAGTCAAATTTTACAGATGTCAAATAGCAAGTGGTTAAATAACAGAAAAAAATGTTTTTTTAACAATGTTTAACTTGACTTTTAGTACATTTTTTAACTATTAGTTTACATTTTTCATTAATATTTAACCATTAGTAGCAAAATTTAACAATTACTTATTTTAACTATGAATAAAATAACTGGTCTTAGGTTAAGGCTTGGTATTTCTTCTAAAGTAGGTATTTCGCGCTGTCAAAATCTGCGCGCGCAATTCTTCGCCGAAAACAGCGCGTCAAAGAGCTCCCGCCACAATTTCCAGCTACACAGTATAGAAATACGCAGTTGGTTAGGTTAGGTTGACTTCCTTCCTTTCAAGCGTCACACTCACAACACTTTCTAATAGAAATCATATCCAAGTGATACAAATTAAAACACCTTTCAGACTTTTTGGGAATATATTCTAGAATCGAATAAATATAAAATATAACTGCAGAAGTAAACACTGATCAAAGTGGCCGTGGCGTCGCCCGACCTTCTGGAAGTTCTGCGCCGGCTTAAAGAATTTCAAGATTACGTCACCCGACCTATCGGTAGGCCCTTGGGAGCTTGAGCGATTGGATTTTTTTTATGATAAATTACTCTTAGTAGCGATTATTTAGAGCTTGGATAATAAATTTAATTATAGTTGTTGCAATTCACGAAGCTTTGCATGTGGTTAATAACATTAATCAGTATAGGTACGCATTAGAGATGAAACGGATATCCGGTAACTATCCGGTAGGCCGGATATCCGGCCTAAATTTACTATCCGGCCGGATACCGGATAGTAACTCACTATCCGGCCGGATACCGGATATTAAAAAACTACGACAATTTCCTATTAATAAAATGAAATACATTAATCTTTGAGGTAAATATCAATAAAATGTGTTACAATAATGACGGCTTTTATTTAAAGTCCAAAAAGTTACAAAAAAGCCATATTAAGGCCTTTCAAAACTAATTTCTTTTTCTGGGCTATTCACTCTAATGACAAATACATAAATAGTAAATATCTGTTAATGTCGATATATTGCCAAATAAAATAGGCGATCTTTTTTTCACTGATGGTCTGATGACATGATGCAACTAATTAAATTTTCGCTATTCAATCACACACTCACGATTGCAACCGAAATTGAATTGATCTGCCCCCTAGACAAGTGGCAAAATCTGACATTCTATTCGGACGGATTTGATTTTCGAAAAGTGTGACTAATCTAGTCTATTAATAGACCCACTGATCGAGTTCGAAGCACCTGTGCGGCGCTTAATCGTCACGACATGCAACGAGACAATGGGCCAACTATCCGGCCGCCGGATATCCGGCTATCCGGCCTAGCAGCTGGCCGGATATCCGGTATCCGGTATCCGGCCACACAACTATCCGTTTCATCTCTAGTACGCATCAATTTTGTTCAGTCTCTTTGTTTATTAATAAATAAAAATATCATACTAAAATTGCAGAAACATATTTGTTTGTATTGGTCTGGGTGTTTTCTTTCTATAATATGTATGACGTATGTACGGGGTTCTGTACCTATCGAAAATTGCTATAAGCATCACACGCGGTTACCTGCGTACCTCTGTGCACTCATGGAAGTTTAAGCAGAGGTCCCTAGAGTTTGACTTTGAGCTTTGTTTATAGTCATTACGAAGCAGACTGATGGGAAACTGCACTGTCTTGAATTCGAAAGGCCCGAATGTAGGCTATCTCTCTTTCAAACCCTCCCTCTCAGACAGACGCGTCCGTGAGCGCTCACATGCCTATCTCGCTCACTCCTAAGCGATTCCCTATCTTCTTATTCTTAATTATGTGTTTTCCTTAATTAATATGTGTCCTCTTTATTATTTTCATGTAAAAAGTAGTACATAGGTTTCGTCTTTCCCTATATATTACAATTTAACTTAGTCCTTAATAAATTACATCTTCTATAAAGAATTATTCATCATTTACCATCTTTCCTTTGTAACTTACATAAACTGTTATTATTTCCATAAATAATATATCAAGCTATTTAATATTATTACAGAGACCATCAAATACATGTTAAAACCTTAAATATCCAATAATTAACATACAAAACATACACATTTACAGTTTACACCGTTGCGGTGTACGCATTCGTTCGCGCCACTATTTCGCCGATTTCCTCCTTCTCGGCGAGTCGTCCCCAACACCTCCAATGATTTAAAAAATGACTGACTGGTAGTGGCCTGCATCCAGCGCCTTCCAGCTACTTTTATGAGGACGTCACTCCTTATTATCGAATTATCTTCTTATAAACATGAAATAATGATAGGACCATTATCTTTATTAAGATAGCGATTGTCAACTGTTTTAATGGGTGTCTTATTATTTCATCACATTACCATGATTAATTATAAATTAAGTAAGTATAATGAAGAATTAGTTATTTGTCTCAATCTTAACTTTATACCAACCTACACCACAGATCTACTTGAACCTTCAAACCATGGTACCTTCTAGTTCTCTGCGACCCAGCTACTCTGGGTGCATCAACATAAACGCTCTAAAAGAAACAAGTTTTAGCGCTGGCACTAAAACCTTTTACTACTTAGTTGCTAAGTATTGGGGTTCCTTGAGGTAAATAAATTAATAAAATTCATTTGAATTAGCTAACACTCCATCTATATCATCATTAATACAAACCAATTTTTGGATAACTAGCTTTTGCTTATGGATTTTCCCGCTTTTGCTATCTACTTACTTACCTTAAGTAATTAGATATAATTTAGATCCCGACTCAGCTTAGTTACAGAAGAGGTTATATTTACCTCATGACAATGTGTGAAATACATATAACATTGTAAAATGTAACCAAAATGTATTTCAATTCTCTTTTTAATTCGCTTATATTAACTGTTAGTTACTTTTATGATGTTTCCGTTGTTTTAAATTTAAAATTCACCAAGTAAAAGCCACAAAGAAACAAAGTCAGTAAAGTAAAGCTTTAAAGCAACTCGCACTTGACTGCCTTTTGAATATTCTCAGTTGAACGGTTAATAGAAAAGTTCAGCTAGGAGGAACAGGAAAGTTCCGGAATATTATTAGTTAGATGTAGAAAATACGTCTAACTGTAAAACGGGTTTAACACGAAAAATGGGACATAACATTAACTTCTGTTTTTTCACAGGATCTTAATTAATTAGCTTAATTTTAGTCTTCATAAAGCACCAACCTACGGGAATTATGTATTATCCCATCTCTTAACCTCGTTCCAATGTAGCCAGAATTTACAGCTACTACCAGTAAAAAACCTCTAAGGCTGAGTTGCACAATGACTTTTTGTATGGAGTTTGACAGATTTTTGACGTTTGACAAAGTTAAAGTAAGATGGTGCCCCCCAGCCAGTTTTAAAAAGACCAGCTTAGTTACTTCATGATTCATAAGTCCAATATAACCTTATCATAGCAATATACCGACGCCATAATACATTCTATTGCCCTCTATTCACAGCAATAAGCCCTAGCCTATTCCAGAAATTTAATTCGACGCAAACAAACTTCTAGTTTGTTCTTAGATACACACGTCTGAATAACATACGCTCTAGAATCTAGAATGTACTAACCCACTTCGCCTTTAGCCTTATGTTTGGTCACGGTAACAAAAGATGTAGGTCACACTCGGCCGTATGAACGTATAAAATGAAAATTCAGCACCCCAAATCTATTAGAGACATGTGTCACCTAAAGAATCTAGAATTTTGGACGTACATTTTAAGACCTGCCTACGCGAAAGTAAAGTCATTTTATAGAGGGAGTACGCATTTGAAAATTTTTAGTAGAATTTTACGGGAAAGAGACCGAGGTAAGTTGTAAAAGAGGAGTTGATTTTTTTAAACCAATTAACTATCAGCGAGCTCACAACAGCGCGCATTTAATTTTGTTACTCGAGACTTGAACTAAAACTACGGGCTCGCTAGTAGTTAATAAGTTCCAAAAAATCGACAATGTCATAATTCTCCCCTGTTACAATTCACCTCTGTCTCCCCTACTAAAATACGTCTGTACCTACTTTATGAACCTCATCTCGTATTCTAAGTAAATAATTTATTATTTAAACCTCTATTCTCGTAGATCTGAAGTATACAGTTTCAAGTTGGGGCATTTCCACATTAAAATCGCCTTTATGTTCAGTCGAACGTCCTGCCCTCCGAGCTATCAAGA